AAATCCGCTTTTTTGGAACTTGCTCTGTGCATTTACGGTCGTTGCTCCAGTAAGTGGATAACCGCAACAGTGTAGCTCGGTTGTAGGAAAATTTCAACAAAGTAGTTACCTGCTGCCACCATCGCAGAATGGTTCAGTTAGTATACTTTCAATGGGGTCGACTTGCAGTCGAAAGATTGCTGATTCAAATACGAACCAGACTACTCGTTATGAATGTTATATAACTTTCACAGAAATTACCTTCATAAATAAGACACCCCTGGTTAACAGTATTGAAACCGCGATATCAACAATACACCATGCATACTGCCAATCATGTAAGGGCAGTGGGTTCTGCAGAGGCTCTGTACAGAGCAGTTACACCATAATTTCTGTCACGATGACAACAACAGGAAGCGAACTTCGAATTCGCAATTCGCATTCGAAACTCGACAATATACAAATTTCACCGATCTTTGCGAATTAAAGATAAATTGAAACAATGTCCCTCAGAAAGGGTGTGCTGTAAAATACCAGTGTTATAAACATGCCCGAAGCGTTCTGCAGATAAGTATTGTTAAATCCATATATTCAATATCCCACAGGTCTTTCCAACGTACGGTTGACACCGTAAACCACATTCAACACTTCTTTCGGGTTACTGCCGGTATATTTATTGAACGGGTGTCCATAAGCTCATGCCGGTCTTACAGTAGAATAAACTCTATGTTTTTAAGGTATATTTTGAACTAGCTCAGATGCCTGGAGTATGGATGATAAAATTGCCAGAAATCTGTTCTCACATGGCCTCATCAAATTGTAGCTGGGGTGCAGTAGTGATACTTTTACCACGTACTGTTGAAAAATGAGTATTCAAGCAGGACACTGGACTGTAAGATGTGGCATTGAACCACACGTCCTTTTCAGTGACAATCCTTCGGTCAGACGAATGTATCTGTAATCCACAAACACTTGTCAAACGTTGGTCCATTCATAAAGGAGTTCCCACAACTTTTGGTGACGTAACTTTGCATGTGTAATGAATACTCCTCCCATATGGTGATAAATGAAAGCTTGGGCGCCACTACGAACGTGATAATGGAAAAATTTAGAACCATAATATGAGCGGCAGAGACTAAACTCTTAAGTTCAAAGTTATGAATGTTATGGTAAAAATCTTATATCAATCAGCGCATCATTTTATATCGAAATATGTTGTTTGTTCACTAAAGATGGCTAGTAGCCTGATAATCAACAGTACACTAACGATGCTGTAGAGAAACGCCTTGGTACTGGAAGTGTCAGCACCTCTGTGGTTTAATGCTGTCAACTATGAATCACCAGCGCATCCGTAACTTCATTAGTACCACTCGACAGCCTTTGGACTTCAGTACGAAACGACACGAGCAAAGAGAAAAAAAGGCGTAGGTGACGCTTAACGGAGAATACCAAAGACATGGAAAGGAAATAACATCCTTGTGCCACTTTAATGACAGTGGTCGAAAAAATTCAAGAGTAAAAATGCATCTGCAGTTTCTCCTCTAACCGACGAATAACATTCGTTCCAAGGGATATAAACTTTCTTTAATTTTGCTAAGACAACTACAACTTTGGATGTTATCCATCGCCGAAGATTTAAGCATCACTGTTGAATAATGTTAATCAAATTTAGCTCCAGATAATTGTGATTGAAGCGCCTGCATTCGAAAGAAGCTATTGACTGATTTCCTTATTACTGAGGATTAGATGACTTGAAGATACGGCAAATTACTTTGCTGAATTACTCTCTATAATTGCGTTATCTCTTACTTATTCGCATCGATTTTTCACCGACCGACTGGATGTGTTGATTAAACGAAGAGAGAAACGCAGGCATAAAGATTTGTCTACGTCATGCGAAAACGGTTTTTACGAAATCACAAAAAACGCTTTCGGAATAACTGCGTTGTTCGATGAAAAACCAGTCGACTGAGTATAACCGGTTTATTCATAGAGATAAACGTTACGTGAACGCAGAACGTGATCGTGAGTTTTAGTGACTCAGAGAGTAGCCAATGATTCGTAATCGTATGAGGCAAAAGACAAAGAAGTACCGGTGAGATCATTACCTCAAATGACAAAGCACAAAACCTTTCGCCTACCAGGACTGCGGTGGATGCTCCTCGCCAACACCGGAAGCAAGTGACCACGTCGAAATAGATGGACTAACATGATCGACATGAAAACAACAAGAAATAAATACAACGAAAAAGCGACCAGAGCGACAACAGCAAGTCACACTGAGTTCAGGTCATGGTACCCAGCTGGCGCGGTGTGAGACACGTTGGCCCGATGATAATCGATCGTCATTAATGACCGAATTTCTGCAGAACTCATGAAAGCGTTCCGACCGACCGTTGAATTAGTGCTAGTGGTTAGTCGGATTGGATGACGCATACTCTGTTCAAGCCATAAACTCCGCCCACAAGAAGACATTGGTTATCGTCGTCTGAGGTTAAACGTTTGAGGTTTGGATGACAGACGAAGCTGCTAAGACGAATGGTGAGCAGGTCGCTTAAAGTTGTCGAGGTTGTCGTCAAATTCGTCGTTTAGGACAAATACCGACTAGGAAGCTAACCGTTGAGGAATAGAGCAGATCTGCTTCCTTATATGGAAAGAATATTTCCTTCTACCATGAGATAATCGGTGCGAAGAAGAAGTTCCTGGTAGTTAGCAGTTTACGTAACTGAGTTCGAATATCAGTACGCAATTGTTCTGGGGAGCAACTAGAGCCGTGGTCAGTTAACCACCCTTACTGCCATTTACGTGCAATATGGTAGACGAGGTTGGGTTACGAGTTAACTCTCACGATGGCACCGGTCGTAACCCAGCCCCTGAAGATCAAGTATAACAGTAACACGGTGGATGGAGTTGACCGATTCACGTACTTTGGATCAATTATCGCGAATGGTAGAAGCTGTGACTTAGATGTTAATCAACAAATTGGACGCGCGACAACAAACTCTGCGAGGCTGCACGTAGGATGAAAATGCAGCTTAATATCGACAGACGAAGGTTATCACCTTGACAGCAGCGTCTTCTCTGTTTTCTTGCATGACCTCGAGACGGCTGTAGTCCTGAAACGCCAAAAACAACAGATAAACTTATTCTAGCAACGCCTCTAGTGCAGCATCCTCAAATCCCCGTGTCATCACCAACGATTGCATGCTCAAAATCGCCAAGACAAACTAAGATGCTGATCATCCTATAAGTCCCATATAATGGTTCAAAACATCAGAACCAGTCAGCAAAATGTTCCTCTTATGGGCAGTAGTTTAGTAAAAGAGGTAATTTTATGAGTTGGCAAAAACTATTAGAAGCTGATCTGCTCGCGACAAATAATGATTAAAATTATTATTAATGCGAATGATTAAAATAATTCGAGGACTTCCTTCCTGCATGTCAGACATCATTTATCTGGAATAAAGGGAGTTGTTATTCTGTCGCTCTGCAGATAGTGATGAGTGAACAGCAGCAACCGGTGCCTTATAACAAGTGCTCAAGTGTTGACAAATTGCAAACGCATCAGAAATCACAAACAATAAACGTTCCGCTTGTGCCAAAAAATGAAGGTGATAATCTCAACAAACAATCCGCTTTTCGGAGGACATCTGAATTCGGCCAATTTGTCATTTGGAATGTTGCTAGGATAAGCCGATAGCGATGATTGAGGAAATTTGAACGCTACAGACAAATTGCTTTGCACACACGCTCTGTGACTGCCTTTCTACTGAAAGGATACAACAGGCGAATTTGAACTTCGTGTCCTACAACAATTTTGTTTCTTCCTTGTTAGTATTTACTATCATGTATATAGTATTTAGTTGGGTATATTTTATTCGCTTATCAGTGCCAGAAAGCCAAATATTGTTTAGATGGAAAACAACCGTACCACAAACACTGTTTCGATCAGTATCTACGGACTTTCATGGCAACGCTTGAGTTAGTTCTGGTGAGCTTACTGTCAATTTCCGACTTTAAGCTTTCCGAGAAAGCGTATGACCGGATCCCACGCAACAGTCTGTGGACATGCCTTCGTACGTACGGGATTGATGGC